TACATTCAAAGAATATTTATTCAAAACAAAAATTTCCATTGGGGCCTTAAGATTGTTTTCTTTTAGGCGAGTTTATAATTTCGTCATCACAATCAATGATGACTCAATAGTTTTCTAATCAATCCATTCCTAGTATTATGTCAAATCTAAAAAAGTCTAGGAGTATTATATTTATGGTTAACTCCTTACCAGAAACATCTACAGTTTTTAAACAAGATGAGCTTCTAAAGGTCCTCTAGAGGATATTTCTACTACTAAAACTTGTCATAATGGTTTTGATTTGATTTCTAAATTCTTAACAAATCTACATGATATAAAAAAATGAGTAGCACCAGTATCAATTAAAGCACGAACGATAGAATTATAAATAGAAAGCGTACCCTAAATGATGATCGGTGTAGTAATCGCACAAGGCTAATCAAGATGGAAGACTTTTCCTTATGCGATGGGCCTTACAATATCTTGGGACTTTTTGTCACGAAGTGCTTTATGCTCTAGTACTTGTAGCAGGAGTTATTTAAATGATGACAGGGTCGGTTACCATGATTTCGTTCGCAATGTAGACAGGACTGGGCAGACTGAAAGGGTTTTACAGGAGGTGGGGGCAAAGTAGGATTAGATATTATACAGAATTTCTTATCAACACGGTCAGGGCCAAGGTCATTTATCTTTCTCTTATGCTGATGTTGAGCACATATGTGAATATTGCGCTAATGTTGGGCCCAAGTGAGTCATTTCAGTCAACTAGGCATGCTCAGGAACTTCGACATAAGTGTTAGGTTACACACGTTAATATGGTCAAAGAATATCAACTCTAAGACGCTCCAAAATTTTTTGAGTCTTTTGGCTCTCAGTGACAACCATCATAGGGGTAAACTGAGACAATTGAATAAATTTTGTGGCATACTGGTTAACTGTCATGTTTCCTTGTAGATCTTAAAATTCTTCTTTTTTTTTTCTCCTGAACATAGACCAAGAATAAGTTCTCTAAAAAGGCATCCATGAAAACTTTTCTGATAATAGGAGTTGGCAAGACATCTTTCTTAAGTCGCCACCAATGCTCGACTTTACCAGTAAACATAAAAGTATCTAAAGAGACCTTATGTTCCTCAATTAGGTCCAAGATAGAGAAAATCTTTTCTATTTACAAAATCTAAGCTTTTGTAGCCAAAGGATTGATTCCACCATAAAAAAAATGAGGATTTAGTCTCCTAAACTTAGAAATGTTTTGAGAAATGGTCCTGTCTACATGACGAAAGTCATTGGCAGGGGGGTGGCTAGTCTCGGTTATGACCTACAGCAGCGGTTAAACCTTGGATAGCTTGAAATAATTTTGTGAACTTGGTCTGGGTCAGAGCGTCCTGAGCCTTGGGGTGTTATACGGATGGTCTCTCTTGAATCATTAATCCTACAAAAGGGAGCCAACAACCTTGATGACTAAAAATAACAAGAGTGTTTCTAATTCTAAGAATTTTCGAAGGTGTTCTCTAAGTCTAAACTATTGGCCTCAGTGTAAGGGAATTTTTCGATAATCATGTTATGATACCAATTGTAACATCTCAGATACTTGGTGGGGTATAAGGGATCATGATAATATAAACAAATACAAGTGCAAATAATAAAATATATGCAGCAAAAAATAGAAAATTTTTTACAACAAAAACCAAGTTCATTTTACACCTGAGGCCAAGAGGTGGCTACCAAAATATGAATATAAAAAAGTGAGAATCATTTTAATAATTACAAAAAAGTGTCATCAGAGTGCAAATAAAATAAAGCACTTGCAATCTTTTTAAAGATCCAAAAAGGGATCAAATTGAGCTTCAAGGGGCAACTCAGCAAGCAGATCATCACTTCCATCATCTGAGGGGGCATGAATTGGGATGAGTTTCATAAACTCAGTAAGAGAAACAGTATTTAAACTATACAGCTAAGGTTTCTAAAAGTGATTAACTTTCCTAATAAAATGTCATTTCGCAATTAAATAACTTATCTCAGAAGTCTCCAAAGGACGAGCTCAATTCAAATATTTAGAAAAGATTGTTATTTTCTTTAGAAAATCACAATCAACATATCGAGTATCAAAGACGGAGATAATATAGAGTCAATCATAAATCAGGCAATTTAATAGAAATTAGTTGAACCAATGAAGAACATAATAATATCAGGATAAATTCATCATACAAAATCACCATAGAGTACCAACAACTATCCTAAGCATGTTTTTGTTTTATTTAAGTCTTTGACCGACCTCTACGTGAAGCCATTCCAACATATATGCATTGAGGGCAGAAGGGATCTCCAACTACTACTGTTAATGACCAATCATATAAGTTCTATTTTCATATTGGGTATAATCTATGATCATGGTCGTACGTCACACTATGGCCTACACATCATATCGCATGTCCACTTCGTCAAAGAGAATGTCGATCATTCATAGGGAGTGATTCATCAACACTTAATATTCAAAATAGGGAGAGATAGAAACCCCTTAAAGATAACAGTTAAGCATATTTTTATTTTTTCCTCTTTCATGTTTGACGTTCAATCATAGTAATTTTCATGCTTAGAAATCTGGTGGGGTTCTAAATACATGTCTGGTCCAAGACCCATTTACTTAGACTTGACCTTTAGGTCATTACTAAGGTAAGGTAAAAGGCCACACCCACATGCATTTTTTAATCATGTTTTTATGCATTATGCTCACTTTTCCCATAATTTATATTCAAATGAGCAATAATCATTCACCATAAGGATTTTTGCATCAAAATTATCATACTCAATAATTCCATAATTTTATATCTAAATAAACAATAGTCAATCATCATAGAAATTCATGCATCATAAATCATTTAAGTTGTTCTTTCTAGAAAACACACTTAGAAATATAAGAAAAAATATCAAAAGAATTCCTTACCATAATCGTTGATTGATTTGTCTTTTAAAAAGGGAAAGAAAATACTCTTAGCAGTATTTGAGAATTCCTACTCATCTTCTTCCTTCTTGCTTTCTTTCTCTCTTTAGACTTCCCTCTATCTTTCTTTAAAATTTTCTAAAATTGAAGAATGGAAGATGGTGGGAAAAAAGTGGGAGAAAGGCTTTTTAAATAGCCAAAAGGAGAAGTCATGAATGTGCGCCATGTGGCAATCATTCGAAGGGACTCGTGGCAATGATTAAGGAGCCAAGGTTGTCATGACATGGGGCAACGTACTACGAAGGTGACAAGACCGCGGATAGGACAAGTTATCACGTCCTTGTGTGGGAAGGCATGTCTGTGCAGTAAAAAGCCTATTCGTGCAGCTGCCAGTGCCCATGGATAGGCCAAGCTGTGCGTTGTGCATACACAGTGCATATACACACAATCCCGCGCAAGGGTTGACACGCAGGCCCATGACTGCGCACAGTGCCCACGGGTCCCCTTTCCCATAGATTTCTGAGGATTTTTTAGAATTTTTCTTTTTTTTTAATTTTTCTTCCTTTTTCTTATTTTTTCCATTTAAAATATTTTACAATTTGAATTAAATTAATAAATAAAACTAAATTTAAAACAAAACTATCGATATAATTTAAATTGTCATGAAACCCAAAATAATAAAGTTCGACACCACGTTTAAGCGCAAAAAGGTTTGGGGTGTTACAGATTTTCTGTTTTGTTTCATGGGCTAAAGGGCTTAAAGAACATTTGTGAAAGAATGACTAAATTAGATTTTGGAATGGGACAAAGTGGAGAAGTATGGAAAGAAGATCTATAATTGTAACATAGCTCATAGATTCTTTCATAGTAGAAATAGATCCTAATTCCTCCCAAGAGCCCATGGTAAAAAACATACTTAAGACGAAGGGTTATTGAAATTAAATTCAATTTAAATCTTTAGAAGGTTAAATTAATACCCAATAGCACCTTTGAGCTAAGTGTCCTTAACTGACCACAAAGACTACCATTAAATGGCATTATGGGCATTTATGAGCCTGAGAGGCCGTCTGTTGACTTAAATCCATAAAAATCCTGTGGTGAATCCAATCAATCAAGTATAGTTTGGTGGAAAATACCTTAAAATAAGAAATTTAACTCGTATAAGTCATACTCCCCTTTTAGGATACTATTTCTAAAAATTGAATGGGCAAAACTAAACAATAAGAGATTGGGTTGAGCGTTTCTAATCTTAGTAATCTGGTTAGATTTCCAAATAGAGTGAAAGATATATGGGTGATAACCTCGAGGGAAATGATAATAGGTGAAAAAAAATTTTCTACTAAACTACAAGATCATTGATGATGAGTAGAATCAAATTCCATCTTTAATTCTATGTTTATACATTGTACCAACTAGCTTATTTGGTTTATGATTGAATCTAAATTTTTGGGTGAGGAGATAGAAATTGACATGATTGAGGGAGATTAAAAATAAAACAAAAATGTCAAGACCCACTAACCAACAAAAGATAATAAAGCTAGAAACGATTAAATAGGAGGGGTAACAAAAGTCTAGTAAGAACTACACATATGATTAGAGAGAGGATGAAAACAAAGGACCAACAAATATGGATTATGCAGAAGTAGAGTAAAAAAAGAAAATTGTGAGATCGAAGAGAGTCTAAAGCGAAAGAGAGAGAGAGAGAACAAAAGGTGGAAGAAGAAAGGCGAGCTAGAGGTAAAATAAAGAGGAGGAAAAAAAAACATAATAGGACTCAACCGAGAAGATACATCCTAAAAAGAAAAAAAAAATATTGACTCTGTGAAAGATGAGTTGGGACAAACAAGTGAACCTCTAGATTAAAAGAGTTAAAAATAAAAAAAAATAAAAAAAAAACTAGAGAGGAGATTATTAATTATTAATTATTTATTTTTGGAGAAGTCTAAGTACGGACCAAATGTTATTTATTTACAGAAAAAATTACCTATCTGAGTTTACCTAAAAGCTTTGGAAAATCTGAGGTTGAGTCGGTTCCGACCCATGTGCGCCAACTGTGGAAGGGGCACAAAAAGAACAAATTATCCACGTCTTCCGCTTTTTGAGGTCTTGAATCTCGTTGAGCTCTCCATGGACCAACCCGTTCGCGAGATTTAGTAAAGCCTGCAAATCACAAGTACAATACATCTCTTTCTCTTTCTCTTTCTTCCACCTCGCTTTCACCGTAAGTCACGTACATAATCAGGTATTTATTATTTAATTGACACTTTTTCTTCTTCACTTCTTCAACGTTCCAAATTCTCCAGGCTGCGTTTCTGCTGAAACTTCAACAATTCCCCTTTCTGTAACTATTAATGTTTGATACCCAAAATGGATTTTCTACTTATCCCCATTTTCTCTCGGGGGCCTTGAGTCTTTCGCTTCCTTTGTTAATAAATGGTTTTGCAATCTACTTTTGTTTTCGCTTCTCACCTTTGCGTCTGCCCATGTACAAACCTCACTCATAGTTTCCCTTCAAGGACGAGGAGGAGGAAGAGACTCGCCTTTCATTTTTCTCCCAAAACACTCCGGTTAATCGCTTCTGCCATCCCTAAACACCCTCGGCATCGAAATTTGAATCCAGATTTTGCTCATTCCTCCACAAGGGGCGCCGCTAACTTCCTGGCTACGCGATTTTCCAATGAATTGGATGGTGAAGATTTGTCTCAGGAATCATCTCTCCAAATTGGCTCCAATTTCTCCAATTTCCATGAAGATCCCATTGTCGATAAGCTCAGGACTCAGTTAGGAGTCATTCATCCTATCCCATCGCCGCCGATTAACCGAGGCATAGTCAGCCTCTTCGTTTTCTTCTTCTTCGTCGGTGTCGCCTTCGATAAGCTATGGACCTCTCGGAAGAGAAGCAAAATCGGAGGTATGGAAGCGCGGAGAGGAGGAGCGGCTCAGTGGCCGCAGGTGCCTACTAGCTTCTCCTTGTTCCTCGAGAAGGATTTGCTCAGGAAGGAGTCGGTGGAGTGGGTGAACATGGTGTTAGGTAAGTTGTGGAAAGTATACCGAGCCGGGATCGAGAATTGGATTATTGGTTTGTTGCAGCCGGTCATCGATAACTTGAAGAAGCCTGAGTATGTGAGCAGAGTTGAAATCAAGCAGTTCTCTCTCGGAGACGAGCCATTGTCCGTTCGAAACGTTGAGCGCAGAACTTCACGTCGCGTCAACGATTTACAGTAAGTTCTTTATATTGATAGAAGTGTTTCAGCTCTCTTCGTTCAATCGCCTGGTAAAGGTTTTTTATTGGCGTGAACTTAATTCACCTCTTGTGCAATTTTCCTGACGGTCATACAGAATTTTCTTTACAGGAAATTGTAAAGTTGTCATGCCTTGTTTTTCTTTTGATAACCTATCTCTTTATAAATTAAAAGAAATACTGGAGAACCCAAATCAATGCATTCTTTTGAAAGAGTATCAGTTATTTTTATTATGTTGTGTTAGATTTTTTTGTTTAGGAAGACGTAAATAGATCTAATAATATGTTCCACTGTTTTTAGAATCAAACTGACTATCAGGTTAAATTGCATAGAACTTATCAAGGATTTTGTATAATTACTACTGGTACATGTTTATACAAAAATGAGTGCTTATCTATCATTTTTCCATCACAAAAAGTTTGGGAAAGCAGGGATCTTGCACGCAATTCTTGTTCTTACTTACTCATGTTTTTCTTTAATAACATTTTAGATGAAACTGTAATTCTTTTTGTGTTTTCTCAACCAGAATCATATCTCATGGTTCTTTTTTTTTTTTTGGATAATCATGTGACTATCACATGATATATATTAAATTTTGTTTGAACTTCTATGAAAAAACTGGACTTGGTTAACGAATATTTTTTTGTTAACGGACTAAATTTACTGTTTTCTAAAAATGGTGGTGCTGCTACTCTTCTTATGGACTTTATCCTAATTTTTAAGTACTCATCTATGGTGCTGCTGCTACTTCCCAGTTCCCCCTTCTTCCTAATCCTCCCTTCCGCATCCTTATATTTTGATGGCTATACAGCGTGTTCATCCTAACATGATATAACGACTCTAAATTATTCCATTGAAATGCCTGGTAAATCCTAAGGTTCACTAATTGAGTGTAGTTTAAGAAAGAAAACCTCAGTTCTCGTTGGTTTTGAATTAATTGGGACTAACCTGGTATGTTTGTTTGGAGATAAGAACCTTCTAGAGGAGTATAGGTGCAATGAAGCAATTAATATTTGTATTTTGGAGATGGCAGTTTTTGATTGATTGGAGCATGAACTTCTTTTACATGAGAAATTGCCATGACTTTATTGAAGAAACTTTTTTTTTTGTGTTGGCTTTTCTTCTCTTTTTATGCTTATTTTGGGAGGTATATCATCTGTCCCAAATTTCTTTTTGTCAAATTTATAAACACATTTAACTGATTTTAGTTTCTTTTGATTTTATTTAGGTATCAAATAGGTCTTCGTTATACTGGGGGAGCTCGAATGTTGTTAATGCTCTCCCTAAAATTTGGCATTATCCCAATTGTTGTGCCAGTTGGTGTTAGAGACTTTGACATTGACGGAGAACTTTGGGTTAAATTACGATTAATACCTACGGAACCTTGGGTGGGAGCCGTCTCATGGGCCTTTGTTTCACTTCCGAAGATCAAGTTTGAGTTGTCACCATTTCGCTTGTTTAACTTAATGGGTATGGCTTTCTCATGACCCTCAGGCCTCAGGAACTATCTCATTTCTTATTTAAGCTACTGACAATTTAATACTACTACTACTGCTGTTGCTATTCTTTTATATATGGGGCAGGTAGCTTTTTTATAAATTAGCCATTTGGGGAAACCAAGTACAGCAAGGGAGAGGTTGTAAGGTTTATGATGCTAAGTGTATTACATCATTGCATCGGTGGATTGATTAATTGCTTAGTCTTGCTATAAATATTTGTTCTTTTTAGTTAGGGTCTCAGATCTGGCAGACATGCAAATGTTTTAAAATCGTTACAGTCAAGAAGTAATGGAGCAGGCCATTGCTAAACCAATCCAAGTCAAGTTTAGGGATGATATCTTAGAGGTTCTTGGGGGTGCTCATAAACATCCCCAATCTAATCTGCCTGTTCAATAAAGTTACCCGACAAAAACATAAAAGGATATGATCTGCAGTTTATAGATCTATGTTAAGATATTAAACTCTTTTTGGAAAAAAAAGGTTTCTAGTTGCTTGCCATTATGGTAAGAACTTGAAATGACGGTTAGGATTTCATTCCCTTCGGTACAGTTGAAGTTTCTAGTTTTCACCACTTTGACAAAGATATCTGGCATTGAATTTTGCTATGTAAGGAAACTTCTTATTACTCTTTGTGATCTTGAATGAGAAGAAAGATCTGAGGTTCTTTTCAGAAAAATCATTTATCAAAGGCATTGGCATCTGGTCAAATTATCTGATCTTAAAAGGATCTGGTGGACATTGCAGACATTTTGGACTCCACAATGATGTATTCATAACCTAATCTTGCAGCTGAGTAGGGATCTCACATTAATGTTCGTCTTTCTCCGCTTCCAGGTTGAAGAGAAGAAAAGAAGTGGGGGAAAAGAAGAGAAAGAACATAAGAAACGAAGAAAAAAGGCGGGTTGGGGCACGGAAAAATGTTCTCCCTCTTCAAAGCTCTCTAAAAGACTCTTTTATATCTTCTTTTTTCCTTCATCACTTTGGGAAGGTGGTATGCAAGCCAGGCAGGAGCTACTTGACTTAAAATAGATGTTCTTCACACCTAGATGTTTATTGAAAAGAAGTTGATGGTAGTAAAGCTGAATGAACTTGTCTCTTGAAATAAATATTTGGTTTAAATGTATCCCGTAGAGTATGGGTGGGCTAAGAGGGGCCAACATGGCTTAAGAAAGCCCATTAAAATTTGGTCCCAAGAATACCTTCTTTTTGGCCATTGTTCTGTTGAGAGTGAGAGATAATTCTTGTCTTTTGTCTTGGGAAGATACGTTGTTGGAAGAGTGTTCTCTCTTTACTTTATTTTCCTATCCTTTATAGGCTTTTCTAGGAAGCTTCACATCTTTAGACACCTAAATTTTAGGATGCTTTTCACTTAATGGCCATGCTTACGTTGCTTAAGTCTTTCCATCATTCACCTAGACCTGATAATTCTATCTGGTCTTCGAACTTTTCAGATTCATTCTCTTTGAAATTCCCTTTTACCTTTTTGATTTCTCGTCCCACTTCTCAGAACTTGGTTTTTAGTACGTCTTTTTGGAAGGTGAAAGTTCCCTCAAAAGTCAAAGTCCATCAAGACCTCGGTTTTTAATACGCTCACACTAATGATTTATTTTAGAAGCAACAACCAAATAAACCTATTTCCTCTAACAATTGTATGGTATGTTCTCAAGCATCAGAGACTAATAGGCAATTGTCTTTGCTTTGTGTTCTGGCATCACAACTTTGGAGATTAGGTTGTTTGCACTCTTAGGAAGCCTTGGGTTTGTCTTCTCATCCTAGAGTAGTTTTTCAGCTGCCTATTTAAGAGGCTGTGTGAAGGAGCTTGGTTATTGTGAAGTGATTGGGGTGACCATAGAAAATACTATCTCGTGGCTTGGAGAAAAGGTTACTCAACCTGTAGGTAGGGAAAGCCTGGGGATCCTTCTCTTGCTGGACCTCAATTAAGTGTTAAAAATGCTCTTTTGAAAAACTTTATTGTTTCGAAAATTTGGTTGATTTTCAATGGATAATGTTTGAATAGGGAGAGGAAGCTTATGGTTTTAGCTTGTGGAGTTGGATTGCTAAAGATTGGACCATGATTTTGAACCTCATCCATTTTGAAGTTGTAATGTAAAACAAAGAGAGTTTGAATGCAAATTTAGGAAAATTTTATTAAGAACAAAACTTGGAGATTTCAGATCTTAATAATCAAAACAATATCTCAATATTGAATACTAATCATAAGTTTTCTACCTAATAACTAAGGTACCTTATTTATATGCATCAAAATACAACAAAAATAGGAAATCTGGAAAAACATAAAAAAATGGGAAAATAAGTTAGATAGAAGAAAACTCGAAAATCTTCCTTTTCTTAATTCTAAAATTTTCCAAAATTTTATTTCTACCATAAAAAAATAAAATAAAATTTCCTATTCCCTCTTCGTGAAAAAAGGAAATTAATTTCCTATCCTTTTAGTGTAGAATTTCCCAAAACCATTGTTCTTCTTTACTGGTTTTGCATCATGTTGGAACTGGAACAGGAGTTGTTTCTTGTTGGACTGCTGGTGCTTTGGGGGATCTTAAGGATATTTTTCTTCTATTTTCTCAGTTGGTAGATTTGAGGTTGTATAAGTGGTCAAATGAAGTGAAGTGTTCCTCTCCTCTAGAATCTTAGTGATTGGGAAATTGGTTAATGGGTTTCTTTTTTGGCCGCTTTGAAATCAACTTCACCCCTCTAGGAATGACAGACCCATATGGAGGCTTTTGCAAAGATTGAAATTTCTTGCTTAAGCCTTTCTTCTCTAACTTCTTGCAGCCCAATGACTTGATCCTAGATTGCTTTGCTTGGAAATAGGCTGCTCCTCAAATTGCCTTCACTTAGAGGTAGTTTGCGGAAGGACTTTAAGCCTGGGAAATCTACTGAGAAGAGAAAAACCTTGGTTAATGGTTACTTTTATGCCTCAACAAGTGTGAATTCTGAGACCATCTTCTTCTTCAGTTATTTGAAATTAGAAGGCTTCGAGATTTTTCTCCCAATTAGCGTGCTAAACCTTAGCAGGGTGGTATGCGGCCTTGTTAGAGAGAACTATTGGTGTGGAGTGGCATTCCAGCAGCTTGATCCAAAGGAGACTCATTTTCCTCATCCTACTATCTATATGTTGGATAACTTGGAAAGAGACGTGGAATAGATTTTGAGAATACTTCCTTTTCTTTTGCTTCTATTCGGAACCATTGGTTTGGAATCCTATCTTTTTGTTTGGGATTATTTACTCAAAGTGGGATCAATTTAGCTAATTATTAATTCCTTGGCCTTGAGAGAGTATGTATATTTTGAACATGAGTGGTACCATCTTGGTGCTTGTTTTACACGATATCTTTTCCACTTAAAACCTGCCTATCCATCTATGTTGTGCACTAATTTCCCTTTTCGTTTGGGGATTGCATGTCTTGGTTAATCAAATGGTTTTGAATAGCAAACTTAGTAATTATATGTTTCAAGATAACAGTTTGATATTATCTCTAATGAAAACCATGTGTTAAAAAATATTCATTTATGGTTTTGTGCTGACGTGAAAATGAGCTGACAAATGTTTTTTTGTCTTTGTGTTTTTTGCATGCATCGGACAATATCAGCAATTCCTGTTCTCTCAATGTAAGTACTTTTTGCCTCTCAGTTAGAACAAGTTGCTGCATTATTTTACTTTTTGGGCCGCAGCAAGACAAGTCATAGATATAGCAGATATTCTGCTTCTCTGCACTTAGCTTTCTGTGTTGTGCATATAATCTAGAATCCTTGCATTTCCTCTGCTTCTGCAATTCAAGAATTGAATTGTAGTTTGTTTTGGAGACCATACTTCTGCTCTTTCATTTTTGATACGAAGGTTCTTCTTGTAATGGTTAATTGCATAAAACTTTTCACCTTATGATTCCTCAGTTACTTTGGATGTCTTTCATCTTTGTCTTCTTAGGTTGAGTTACATCCTTACTTTGTTTTGATCTCATATTTTGATTTTGTTTTTTAGGTTTTTGACTAAACTTCTCACAGAGGATTTGCCAAAATTGTTTGTCCGTCCAAAGAAGATAGTTTTGGATTTTCAAAAAGGAAAAGCTGTTGGCCCTGTTAGAAGTGATTTCAAATCAGGAGAGATGCAGGAAGGAAACAAAGATTTTGTTGGAGAACTGTCAGTTACTCTCGTAGATGCGCGAAAGCTCTCATATGTTTTCTATGGTAAACTGAAAATATTCCTGTCTACTTTACAAAGTCATGTTCTTCCAAGTTTTATGTCATTGTTTATTTGTAATGGATGTCCAATGAGTTTATTTCCGTCTACTCCAAATCGACAACTAAACTTTTTTCTTTTTGTATAAGAGAAGTAGAGAAAAGTGAATTACAAGCTTTGTGAGGGTAAACTATCCTCCAACAGAGACAAAGAAGGCGTCAAAAGCAAAGAGAATTTACCAAATTAAAATGGCATTTCAGATCCTTCACAATGTAGACAAAGAAAGCCCCCTGAACAAATCATGGGCGGCCTTAGCATAAAGAGAAGCGAGAAACAGCACCCTATCCCTATGGTTTATATCTGGTTGAGAATTTAGCTTAAAAATTCTCATGTCATGTTCCAATAAGAAAATCTGTCACCTTGCTTCTTTACCATATGACATGCTTCGCACTCTGCCCAAAGCCAGGCAAAGAGGTGAAAACAAATATCAACAATGATTTTTTAGTTGGTATTTTGTATAAGTATATTATTTCTAGATGGTATTATTTTTTTGAAAAAGTTCTCTGTTTATGAGAGGTCATAATATGCTGGATGCTTCCGTGATGAGAATAGCAGTGTTTGACAGCTTTTGCACAAGAAGAAGTCTGCCTTTTCTTTTGAAAATAAAGCGCCGAAGTAAAAGGCCATGCACTTTTTAGGATTTTGTTTATTGTGTCTCCCTATGCAGCTCCTTTTATGTTTATAAGCTTATCTTAAGAGGTTCATATGTTGTATTAGCCCCCATTTTTTAAGTCTTCTAACTTCTTACCGTGTAAGATGTAAGAAGGATTTACATGGATAAATAGAGAAACCTATAACTAAAATGTTTCAATTTCCATTTGCATCCTGTTCATTATTTACATATAAGTTGTTATTGTATGTCTCTGTGGGTTAAGGCTTACGGCCTTTTTTCCCATTGATGATGCGGGAGCAGGGGAGGTTTCTTTAACTCTTTTGCAAAGGGACTGGGCTACTATCCTGTATTGATATTCCTTTTCTTTTCCTTTCTATCTGTTTGGTTCTTGGGGATGCTCAAGGAAGTTCCTTATCCTCCTCTTTGTATTATTTTCTTCTTTTATTTTTTTTTTTAAAAAAGTGTTTACTGTTTCTCAGGCAAAACAGATCCATATGTTGTTCTAAGTTTGGGAGATCAAGTTATTCGGAGTAAAAAGAACAGTCAAACCACAGTAATTGGTCCTCCTGGTGAGCCAATCTGGAATCAGGTGAAATTCTGTTTCTTCACAAATCATGGATAATTTGCTATATTTGTTGTGCTCTAAACAAGCAGTATACGTTTTATGGTTAAATAATTCATGTGAATCAGCAGATTTTCTTTAAGAAGTCTTTTTTTACTCAAATTTGTGGCAGGATTTCCATTTACTTGTTGCAAACCCCAGGAAACAGAAATTATACATCCAAGTGAAGGACTCTCTTGGATTCACAGATTTGACAATTGGCACGGGAGAGGTGAGTTATATTTAAAACCATTATTTATTGAAGTAGGCCTGTATTCATTTTGATTGTTGTTATTATGTTGTCAGCATTATTTTGTTTATTTGTTTTTGACAAGAAAAGAGAAAGAGATTCTATTAGGAAGTAAAGAGGGTAAATACAAAACCAGAAAGGAAGGAGGGGAGAGCCAACCTTTACAAATTAAATTGTTATAACCTTGTAGAACCCATGCGCTTTAGCCCACAAAAAGCTAAGAGCACTACCCTGCCCAAATAAGATAGGGATGCTGGACATATCGACTGAAGATCCTTTTTTTTTAAATAAATATTGACTGAAGATCCTAATGTGCATTCAAATTATATAATTTAACACCCATCACAGAGCGCAATACACCATAAAACCTTAATAATGCATCTTGTCCCATCCAATGTCTGGCTGATTTCCAGTTGTAGTTCTCGTATTATTCTTAGTATGTAAAACTAACATAGCAGAATCCGGTTCTAGATCTTGCATATTTCCAACTTTTTAGCAATCTTTACTGGAATTGTGAGAACCGATAAATGGTAGATGGGAATGTTAAAAAGTGTACTTTTAACAAGTGTAAGTCTACCCTCCCTTCGGATAATAAATTCCATTTTCAGCTGGCTGTCTTCTCTCAAAAAGCTCGATCACCGGATCCCAAATCCCGCTCTCTTTATATCTCGAACCCAATGGAACACCCAAATATCTAAATGGGAGTTTAGCTATTCTACATCCCATCAATCCAGCAAATACTTCCTCAGTGCCCCTCCCCCCAAATCTGACCATTCAGGACTTATCTAAATTAATATTCAGACCCGAAACAGCTTGAAAGCATAAAAGTGCACTTCTCAAATTCAGCACCATGTCCTCAACCAGTTGGCAAACTATCTTTGTATCATCCGAGAAGAAGAGATGAGACACATCCAACTGTTGTTGCTTCTATCCCCCCACACATGTCTGAATAAGTATCACTTCTTAGCCCTTTCGAACATCATGTTATGTACTTTCATAACAATGGTAAAAAGTAAAGGTGATAGGGGGTCACCTTGTCTTAGGCCTCATGACGCCTTGAAAAACGAAGATGGCCCAAAATTGATCATAATAGCCAAAATAGTGCTAGTAATACACGCCTGTATCCAATGCCTCCACTTCCTACCAAAACCAAGCCTACCCAACATGTAGTCCACAAAGTCCCAACTAACGTAATCATAAGTCTTCTCCATATCCAGTTTACACATAATCTCATCTTTATTGTTTCCCATCATGTCATCCACAACTTCGCCGCGAGATCAGCATTCATAATTTGTCTCCCTTCCACATATGCATGTTGACATTCCACAATCATTGATTTCAAGACACTCGCCATTCTTTTTGCAAGAACTTTAGATATTAATTTATAAATACAACTCAACGAGCTAATGGGTATAAAGTATTAGGAGAGTAAAATATTTCATCGAAATAGAAGTGACCTACTCAAAGTTAGGAATATTCATCTCCTAGTAAACATATATCACATATCTGTTAAAGGAAATTGGCAAACTAGCATCCAAGCTAACTAGCACACTCATTGATCTCAATCATTAACTAAAGTTGGCAGAAAAAGGCTCAAATGTGGATGCGGAAATGTATCAGAGATTGGTAGGAAAATTCATACACTTGTCACATACCATACAAGATATATTATAGGTAATGTAGTGAGTCACTTCATGCACAAGTATAAAGTAGTGCACCTATAAGTAGCCTATATAGTACTTCATTACTTGAAAAGTATTCTGAAGAAAGGAATTATGTTAAAAAAATAACACTCTACTTTTTGAAGTATACATTGGTGCAAATTATGCTGGATCACTAGTTTATAGGAGATCTACTTTTGGGTATTGTAGATTTATCAAAGGGAATCTAGCGGTTTGTAGAAGTAAGAAGCAAAATGTGGTAGTTTAATCTAGTGCAGAATCAGTGTTTAGGGTTATGGCTCAAGGAGTGTATGAGCTTCTATGATTAAATGTGCTTTTAGAAGATTTGAAGATTCTATCTTGTATATAGGTGGTGCCCCCTTGGTACCATTGTTGATATTAATACAACACCACACTTTTATTTTAAAAAAATTTTGAAGATTTAATGAGATACACCTATGAGATTCTACTACAATAATAGGTCAACAATTAGTATTGCTCTAAATCCAATACAACATGACATAATTAAGAAGGCGCGAATGTATTTTGACAGTTGATAAATTGATGAGGATGAGAAAGATTATGGTGAACAATTGTACAAGTTATGGACAATGATTTATGGATTATTGGGGATTAGCTGAGTAATAGTTGGTTCGGTAAGAGATGAGATCTAGGCCTAGAAGGGCATTAATAATGAGGGGAAGCATGTTGATCTTATTCCTCTTACCATTTTATGGGTGGTGTAGAAAGAGAGAAACAAGAGGGCTTTTGAGTGGGTGGAAGAAGATTTTGTTAGAGTTAGATACAGATGGCTCTAAATATTGGGTTTTTTGGTTATGAGACGTTCTATTCATTCTTTTGAGGCGTTTGAGGATTTTATTGACATACTGACTTAAAAATATTTTTGTACATGAGTGACACCCATTTGGTGCTTGTGAATTGATGATATATTATACTTTTTATTTCAAAAAAAAGATGTTAGAAATAAGTATATTGAAGTTGACATGACACTTCATTAAAGAAATATTGGATAGTGGGTTAATTTGTACTCCATATATGCCAACCATTTCACTACTTGCTGATGTTTTAATTAAAGGATTAAGTGATCCTATATTTTAGACGATTATTGTCAAGTTGAGAATGGATAATATCTATTCACCAGCTTGAAGAGTGTTTAGAGTGCAAATTATGGCTTCATTGTAGGTAAAAGGTATATTGGTAATATACTCTGGATTTGTGTAATCTTTGTAATTAATATTATTTTCTTTTGTTGTTGTTATTTACTTGTATATATAGCACCGATATTCAACAACATATACAACAATCATTCTTCCAAAGTTTGTGTTACTTCATTTTCTGCGAAAAGAAAATAAAGAAAATGTTCAATTGGAATGTAATTTGTTTTTGAGTTACCAACTTCCCATCTAAATTATTTGGTGGTGAGAATTTAACCCTCCCCTGGAAGGGCAAAAGGTGAATTATCATCACCAATAAATGTAATGTCGGGAAGTGGGAACTTACTGTAAAATATGTTTCAGTTATACATATTAAGACTAATATAGAATGGAAGTAAGAATACAGTAGAAATTGAATGAGAAATAAGCCAAATGCAACCTAAGCTCTTTTCTATCATCCTACATGTCAGATGAGTGGGAAGGGAGATCTCCAAGGTAGGAGGACAAACCCCTCACAACTAATAAAGGCTGCATAAAACATAACTGCCGTGCCACCTCACAGTGTAAGAACAAATGATTTTCTGTTTTCAACTTCTGCTAACACATAGAACAAATATATGATAAGATAGTTCATCACATAATAATTGGAATTCAGTACTTAGAGGCCTTTATATTGCATGTGGTCCAAACATTTGAAATCTTTTAATAACATTCTTAACTATAAATAACTTTATGGATAATAATGGCAAAATAGGATAATAACAATTTCTTCTAAAACTACAGAAATTATTAGTGGAAAGGAAGTGATTTTGTCTTTTAGTATTGCTCAGAAAAGAGTTGAACATATGAATCTTATTTGAAATTTAGTTTCCTTCCAACCCCAATTTTCTGCTCTAGATGCCTAGACTAGGCTACCTATTAAAGAAATAGTTTGTTTCTTTGTTTTGTTATTTGACATTTGGCTATGTTTGCAGTCCCCGTATCTCACAGATAGGGATTTTTAAGTCTTACATCTTCCAGGTTCCTGCTTACGTGGTTTTCTAATGCATGTTTCTAGGTTGATTTGGCATTGCTCCAAGATACGGTTCCAACTGACAGGATTGTAATCCTGCGAGGGGGTTGGGGATTTTTCAGAAATAGTTCTTCAGGAGAGATACTACTTCGGCTGACATACAAAGCATATGTTGAAGATGAGGAAGATGATTGGAGTGAGGCAAAATCCATTGATACTGATGTGTCTGACGACGAGTTGTCTGACTCTGATGAATTAAATGCAACTTATATGAAGAATGAAAGAATCTCTATGAATGAAACGGATAAAGAGTCATTTATGGATGTTCTGGCAGCTTTACTTGTTAGTGAGGAATTTCAAGGAATAGTTTCATCTGAAGCAGGAAATACCAAACTTTATGATGATACCTCAACCAGAGTATCAATGTCATCAAAATCACGAAGTGTTGATACTGAATCTGTTGCCTCTAGTTCTGGCAAAGATTCTGAAAGTTCTAAAGGTAGGTAGTTAGAAATCTGCCTAATGCTTATTTCAGTTACTCTGTTCTCCTGATGTAAATAAAAAACTTGTCAGTTGCAGGACCCACATTGTTGTGGCTTGGTATTATTACAAGTATACTGGTGTTAATTGCTATCAATATGGGCGGTTCAAATTTTTTCAACCCTTGATATGATAGAGCTTCTTAGCAGCAAGTTTCAGTTACATTCTTGATTATCAAGTAATTCTCTAAACCCTGTCTGCTTCTTGTTTCTGCGTTGAATCATTACTTTGGTTGTATGCATTATTATTTTAGCTCCTGTTAGTATTTCTTTTCTAGTTAAGAGTTGTGTAGCCAAAGTTCTTATACCCGGGCGCCAGTGTTTATTACTTTGTTGTACTTTCTATTTCCCTAAATTGTCCAGCCAATGCGGATTCAAACATGCAAATGATTTCTATTGTAGAAATTGGGAATCTAGCTCTAAGGAATTGAATATGGGATTGGTTTAGGCTATACAACTCTTAAACCGGATGGGGTAAATCTAGACGAGAGTTTGTGAGAAATTGAAATTAGAATTTTACCCAAAAGAATCCAAATGGAAGTGCAGTGCAGATGATTCTGATATGAAATTATGATATTAAATTTAGGATACTTCTAGTAATTATGTGAAGAAATAAAGTTGTAGTTGACCGAGAATTAAACCATATGAGACCTTTTTTCCACACTTTCAAGAAATCTAGTTTAGATTTGTTACTTGCTTTCTCTCTCGCTAAGAGAAATTCTAATGATGGACATGATTTGCATCAGTTTTTACCACGGCCTGCTTCTGTTTAGATATGTTTTCTGACTTCTGGGTGAGCAAGTATATGTAGTTGATGTTTCAATAAGTCACCTCATTTTCCATAGGTTTAACTGTAGAAGCTAAAATCTCGTTGAATGGCAGGTTTCTTAACATTTCATTTGCATCTCGGAGGTGGCTTCTCAACAGGTTTCATCTTATATTTACTTTACTGTCTACCATTATGTAAATTCGTGTTCGTTAGCAGAGTTTTCAATTGGCGGCAGGAAAATTTTGGGCATCTTTCTGAGCCATTGCATTTACTTGTATGTATATCTATATGACAACGAAAATAACAAAAATAATTCTTTCCCATGAGCTTCTTACAGATTCTGTGGGTCTGGCAAGCGCCTCTTCTTCTCTCTTCTTTCTTCAAAATCAATTATTCTGGTATTCCAATATTTTGTCGCCAAGAATCTGTTCATTAAAAAATATACATATTTGGAAGCAATGGCCACAGGTAGCCCATTCCGGTTCCCCTCCAACAAATTCATAAACTATGATCAGAATTATATTTTTGGTTGAAATTTATTTAAAAATTTATATTTAAGTTAATGAAATCTTTGATTTAATTTTTTATTGAAAAAAATGTTAAATTTTTGTTATTTTATTAAAAAAATTCAGATGTTTTATAAAACATAATATATTTTTATAATTAAATAAAGTATAAATTTGCAATAGAAAATAGAGTAGGCAACTATTGTTGAAACCATGAATTATGTGATATGTATTTTGGGAGTTTTAACTCCAAATGAATTACTGGGCTGGGATTATTAGTAATAATCATAAAGCTAAATAAAATTATAATCCATGGGTTATATTAATGAGACTTGAGCAAAGCTTAAAATGTCTTATAGTAAAAGAATTGATATAACTTAGATACCTTTAATCTGAAAATGACAATTACATCATACCATTAATAAGAAAACATTCCATCACATCAAATGTTAGTTTAAAAGTACCATGAAATTCGTGTATATACTTATTATAATAATAAATTTATTGGATTAACTCGAACAAATAAATACTTGCACAGGTAAATGATTGTATTGTAACTAAAAATATCATTAAGTGTGACTAAAACTATATAAAATCTTGTGAATAGTTATTAATGATTAATTTTTCTCACAATTTGCTTCTAATCTCGATAAACCTACTCAGAATCAATCGTCAAGAAATCAACGATTACATTAGTTACTCAAACAATCTCAATCAGCCCGTCTCACAGTGGAAGAGTAGATAATGACTATTTATACCGGAACAAATGGTTATCTTGATTCATTAGCAATTGAATAGGTAAGGAAATTTCTCATTGAGTTATGTACTTCAAAATAAATAAACCTCAATTTAAGAAATATATTGAAAGAAGCTATTCAGAAACAAATGGAACGTTTTCTATTTCAAGAATAATTCTAAATAAATAAAAGAAAAAAAATTGATCATTCTTTAATTTAATTTAAATTAATTTCATTTTTTACTTAAATAGAAGAGATGATATCCTACGATTTTGCACCATGGATACTTCTACGAGTTTATGGCCAAGATAGTATAAGAGAAAAGATTTTGTTTTGAAAATGATAGATTTATATGTACTCAATTATTATGTATGATTATTAAGGTTTGATAGATTTATATTTTAGATTATTCTAAAATACAATAAATGAACATGATGTACATGCGTAGAATTTATTAAATAAAAAATATTTTTTTTTCTCAAAAAATTATCTCAATAACTTTTAGAGGATCATAACATATTTCAAAATGTTAAACATGATATTTGGATTCAATATAATTAATATTAAATTATAATATTAATTAATGAGATAATCCACTGCTAGGTAAATTATTGTACCTAGTGGATAACATATGTTAATCTAAAATATTTTTTTTTTTTTCTAAAATTTAGGCAAGTGGAAGAATTTTGAGTTTATGTAATCTTAAATTTTAATAATGTAATTAATTATATTTAATATACGAAACTTGACTTAATCAAAAACTGTCAAGTAAGAATTCAAATTAACTAGTGAAAATGATTATTTTGGATTTAGTATCAAATAACTAAATGTTATTTATTTTTATATTTATTATTATTTGCGATGTACTAATTATTTAGATTTTATTTTAAGATTAAATATTAATTAAAAATTTTTAATTAGTAGGTCCAATAAACCTAGTTTTAACTTAATTAATGGCACAAGTAAATAAGGCTATTTTGATAATTTAAGAAAAAAAAAAAAAAAGGGTGGCTAACAATGGAGAGAAAACTCTATGAAATATTTCACATTCTTTACATAATTGTTGACATTAAAATAAGTTCTTAGAACTTAATAATTAAATGAAACAATTGGTGTTAAAGTAGGTAATTAAAATATTAATACTAGTTGGCCTAGTATTAGCACCAATTGAGCCATACACACTAATAGATGAATTACAACTTGAACAAAAGTAGAAAAAATGGAAATTTTAGCTACAGGAGCTTGGGAAGCCCTTGGTTGAATCCATGTAAAAATATGAATATAAGAAATTAGTTTTTAGCGAGTAATCAAAGCCAATATCTTTCCTCTTCTATTCCTACTTTTCTTTAAACTTCTAATTTGATTCTAATTCTTCTTTGAGTGCCTAAGAATTTTTACTTGCTACTACACTTGAACATTATAAAATCATTCACTCTAAACTTCAAAAAAGAGTTTTTGAAACTAAGAATATATGAGCTGTGTGTGAAAAATTAAAGAGATTTTAACTTTGTATCTTCATCTCAAGAGAAGAGCGGAATGAGAAACCTTAGAAGAATTCACTTTCTCCAAGAGTTTTTTCACTCTTGGTTTTAACCACTCCAAACATAGAATATGTAGATCTAGAACTTAGTTTCCAGATTTAAAGGTTAGTGTTTGTAAAAAAATGATTAGTATTTAATCAATATTATAGAATTTGACATGATAAAACTATGTAAATACGTTATGTATGTTCTTATTAAAATTGATTATGTGAGAATCTTGAATTTTATTGTGTGTAATCTTGAACGTTCTCAAATTTATGTTATCGCCTCTGTTCAACACCTAGTAATTACAAGCTTTACCTTAACTATATCAAAAAGCTTCCCCACAAAAAAAAAATAGTTAAAGTCACATTCATTATGTTAAAACATAAGCAATAAAACAGAGATTGTTATGAGATAAAGTAGTGTGAATGAATCTTAAACTTTATTCAATAACCTAGAATCTCCAACCTTACGTTCAATAGCTGAGCTCTTTAAATAGAGCTTTTCTAATGGTAAAAATCATTAAAATAGGATAGCATCCCACTAACTCCTATTGTTACTCAAATATCTTAACAAACCCAAAAAGCCTACACCTTTTAGACAACAAATTATTGCATATGCTAAAAACTAGGACAACTGAAATAGAATTAATATAAATAAATAATATTCTACAATCCCTCCCTTAAACTGAGAAATAGATTTTCAGTTTGATATATATTAGCTACTGGACACTTTTTAAGCAGCATTGTTCTTCAAAAGAGCGAGCACCAAGTAATTCTCCGAACAACACAAACGACGCCGACTTGAGGGACTTGGTGAATACATCAACAACTTGATTTTCATTTCTGCAGTAGATAAGATCAATTGCTCCATTTTTTATGAGGTCTCTTAAAAATTGAAACTTCACATCAATATGTTTACTTCTCTCATGCAGAACAGGATTTTTAGAGAGTTTTATTGCAGGACTATTGTCACAATAATGGGAGTTGATCATTTTTGCTGGAAATGAATTTCTTCAAGAACCTTGTGCAACCAAATTGCTTGACTAGCACATGTTGTTGCTGCTACAAATTCAGCTTCTGTAGTTAATAAAATCATAATTGGCTACTTCCTCGATGACCATGAAATCACTCCCTAGCCTATCATGAAAACATAACGTAATGTACTCTTCATACCATCCAAATCTCCAGAATAATCATTGTTCTGACTATTCTTCTTTCTTGCAGAATAAACCATAATTTGCAGATCCTTGCAGGTATCCAAAAATGTTTTTTCTAGCAAGAAGATGTATCTCCCTTGGACTTTTCATGTATTTGTTAATAAGATTTACAACATACATCATATCAGGCCTTGTGACTGTTAAATACATCAAACTTTCCACTATTTGTTTGTAAAGAGTGTTGTCAACTCTTCTACCTCCAGACTCTTTAATTAGCTTCAAACCAGGCTCAATGGAACTACTGATAGAATTACAATTCTTCATTTGAAACATATCCTATATCTCCTGTGCATACTTTTTCTGTGAAATAAATATTCCATCAACTAATTGAACTACCTCAATGCCAAGGAAATAATGCATCATTCCCATATCAATCATATCAAATTCTACTTCTATGGACTTCTTAAAACTTTTAAATATGGAACTATCATTTTTAGTATAAATTAAATCATCCATATAAAAACAAACAATGATCATTCTTCCCTTGTCATCAATCTTTGTAAAAAAATGAATGCTCATATGGATATTTTTTAAATCCCTCCTTAGAAAAATAAGCATTTATACGACTATACCAAGCTCTTTGAGCTTGTTTTAATCCATATAGTGCCTTTTTTAATTTGTACACTTTATGTTCTTCTTCAATCTTAACATATCTAAGGATTGATCAACAAATACTTGTTCATCCAATTCTCCATATAAAAAAGCCAATTTGACATCCAATTAAAAAATAGGCCATGAATTTAAACAGCCAATGCAATCACCAGTCTGATAGTATCAAGTCGTACAACTGGCCCAAATACTTCTCGATAATCCACACAAAACTCTTACTTATAGCCTTTACCTACTAAGCGTGCTTTGTACCTATCGAATTTGCCATTCTCACTTACTTCTGTCTTGTATATCAACTTCACACTAATTGTTTTATGTCCCTTAGGAAGTTCAATCAATTCCAACGTGTTATTTCTTACAATTGCTACAATTTCTTCATCCATTGTCTTTCACCACTTTGAATCATTAACAACCACATCAAAAGTATTAGGATCACAGTCTGAAAATAAAACAAAATGAGTAAGTGGATCTTCAGACCGATTAATTCCAGTTACCTCATAATCTGTCATCCATGTAGGTCATCTCCTAATATGTTAAGGTCGGTCCACTTCTTGTGTATAAGCTGGGATTGATGGTTGAGCTGGAACAAGTGGAATTAACGACTGTTCCGTCTCTATTTCTTTTTTTTCTTCTTCTTCAAAATCCGCTTGAATATGTTGTTAAATTTCTTTTTCTTTCGATGGCTAGGTTGTGTCTTCATCAAAGATCACATCACGGCTATTAACAATTTTCTTCGTGTTAGGATTATAAAGTTTATAAATTTTGGATTGATTA